TGTTAAAAACTCTTCAGATTTTTAACAAATATAAAAAATGTTTACGCAGATCAGCTACTGATTTCTACTAGTTATTAGCTAATCATTAGCTATTAATTTCTCTGAAATTAACTAGCAGCAGAAGTAATGATTTGTGACGCTTACACAAGTATGAAATGGGAATCACCAAGATCACAGATTTTAAATAAAGCTACTTTAAAACGTTCCGCACTGAAATTCAGGAAATTGTTTAAAGGATCACTACATATGGATTGAAACATACAAGCATAAACAATGAATTAAATTCTGTCCACAAATACAGCCCTTATACAACAACAGCTTAAAGTATAAAGGCCTCATGTCTGGTCTATTTATATTTATTTCTAATTTGTATAGCCCATGACTTAGAGTAGAATTCTGGTATGTTTAAATTTACCCTTACTTAGGTATATTCTCTCACATGGTCTTTCTCAGGAAATTTAAAATCAAAAAGGCCTTCTTGTAAACTTCAGTGAAGATTTTTATGTACAATATGATGCGTTCTCTATTCAAAACAACACAGTCCAAAAGGCCGGACTTCCTCTCTGTCCCCCCATTTCCTTTGCAATATATCTTCTTGATGGAAATATCCTCCAAAGCATCTGAAAGGTGAGAGATGGACATCCTAGAGAGCACTCACGGGTGGTTTTAAAAAGCTTATACAGCATTTGGATGCAAAATACCGCCCTGACCCACAATTAACATCGAGAACTGTCCTCACTCTGAATAACCTGCTTCAGGCTTAGTTCTCTCACACTTCCAAATTACAGAAGGAAACAGCCTCCGCTACCACGTGGAAGCTGTGAACACAGCGTGGTCCCACTGCCACAGGTCTCTGGCCACCACTGTTTGATCTAAGATTAGATTGAATGAAGATTTGAACAACGTAGTCCCCAGGAGATAACCTGAGTTTTCATTAAACAGTCTCACCTTCCCCTCAGTGAGTTGTAAAATGAATATTCCTCACAGCTCTGCCCAGCCAGTAATGAGTTATGAGCCAAGCCTTCTGCACGAGCAGACACACGATAGGGAGAAAAGGCACCTCATTTGAAATAACACAGAGCATTCCACTCTTAATCTCTTCCAAGCGTGTCCTGACACAGGTGGAAGGCTAAGGACTTAAGATGGGAAAAACCTGAAAAGAACTGTTAAGTTCATTAAGGAAAAGGAGGAGGGGAAATAGTACGGGTTGCAGGAGTTAAAACGAGATGTCCTTATTTTTTGTAATGATGCAAAACAAAAGGAGATTGTAAGGTGACGCTTGAAGCAGAAAAAAAGCACCACTATTTTCTTTAAAAAAGAATTTATCCCTCGAAAAGAAAATCCACAACATCAAACACGGGTAACAACAAGAAATTTAAAAAAAAAAAATTGCAGGACTTAAGTACACATCTATATTTAGATGGGATGAGAAACAATGGTAAAGTGATGAGCATTTCTAAAAGTATTTTCTCTTTATAGTACACGCCAAGCACACAGAAATTGGAAAAAAAAAATTAAGAGAAATAAGGAAAAAAGGCAATTTTTCACCAAAGGGGCTATCCTTTACCATCCCTGAAATCAGTGTTACCAAATAAGAGCTGCAGGACAAGCTGATTGCAAAACATCAATTCTGAAAGTACAATTTGACATGATTTTTTTTTTCATAGAAATAGCATATAGGCTTTGATAATCATGTGCTTTTGTACACAATGTCTTACAGATACCAGCTATTATTGTCACCAGTAACACCTAATGGACTTTACCAAAATAAAATATAGGGCTTACCCACAACTTCTGTCAACAAAGTAATGAAGAGTTACCTACAATACAACACTACAACGAAATCGAAACAGGTAAGACACATTCTGTTCTCTTAGGTATGTGGCAGAAAATCCTTCTTTCAGTTACATCAATTCAAGATAATTTTATGCAAAACAAATGGAAATTCCCTTACGAGCAACAGATACAGAATGCTGCAGTCTTCTAATTGCACTTGTTGACTGTAACTGTAAGCAAGGCTGATTACATACTATTAGTTAAACAGGCGTCCCAATTCCTTCCAAAATGAAACTACATAAAACGTGTCCTGAGATACAAAGTACACTGAGAAGAGAGGACTGTGAAGTAAGTGTATTTTCAAATTGTTAATTTATTCTTCTTTATTTTAAACTATTTCTGAGCACTGAGGACACAAAGGACAGAATAAGAATCTGGTCATCCACCCTGGATGGGGCTTGGAGCAACCTGGTCTGGTGGAAGGTGTCCCTGCCCGCGGCAGGGGGGGGAACTAGAGGATCTTTAAGGTCCCTTCCAACCCAAACCAGTCTAGGATTCTATGATTCTAGGATTGGTGTTGAAACGAACCACATAGATGTTCTCTGTGTAGTCGGACCCAACTTCATATGAGAAGTTGTTCAAAGGTCATTTTTTCCCCCTCAAATATACAGACAGCCCCAGGCCTAATTAAAAAATATTAAAAGTATTCTCTTCCTAAAAAAAACCCAAACCAAACCAAACAAGCAACAGAAATGAACCCCTGGGTTCATGGCAAAAGTGAGTGGGAATCCCATACTGCCAGGCAGTACCCATTAAGTCATCAGAGGTCATTTTGTTATACAGCCTGAGTGCACCGAGATCATGAAAGACTTGAAACGAAGGAATTCAGCCTAATTCGGAGAAAGAAATCCAGCAGGTGTCAAGGGTGTGACTCTCCTCTTCCATAGTTAAGTAGAAGACAGTAGGGAATAAAATAAAATAAAATTAAATTAAAAAAACCACCAAAACCCCACAAAACACCACCACTTAACAGCTTTGGGAAAGCTGGACGAGCGGAGAGAACTTTGACAGAGCAGCCCTGCCCACAGAGCAGCAAAGATGTCATCCTGCAAACCTGTATGTTGTAGAAAAGCAGAGAACTGGAGAGAAGCGAAAGAGAGCCTAAAAATCCAAGCAGAGGAACAAAGTCTTTCTTAGACTGGCAGCAGTAATTTTTCCACAGCGCAATGCTGTACCGTGCCAACGTACCAGTCCACTCAAAGTAAGTTTAATCTCTGCATGACAGACCACAATGTGTGTAGATACACCAACAGATGAGGTGCCAAATCACCAGTGCAGCACCAGTGCAGCACGTCACGGTGTCACAGCAGGAGGGGAACACTTTGGAGCCACCAGGCTTCTCTCCATCCAGCACAGAAGCAGCCTGGAAGTTACTGCACGGGCCTTAGAACAGGCCAGCCTTGTCTTCCTGCGGATTTCTGCACGGTGCCTTGTATCACTCTTTTGTCTGTTACTACTATGAATGTCTTTCCTGCAAAAACCAGTGTCCTTTAGTCCCATAATTCTGAATCCTCACGCCCTAATACCGCTACATTAGGTATAAAAAGAGGAAAGAGATAAAGAAGAAAAGGGGAGGGAAAAAAAAAAAAAGGAAAAAAGTTTTTCTCCTACAGATAGGCTCTCAATTACTCCTAAAGTTTCAATTTGGATTACTCACACTCCCAATAGTTTGAGCTAAACTCATCAGCTTGGCTTGAGTCATTCTTTAAGTTCTTCTTAGTCAAAGACCAGGAAAAGGAAGCCATTAGGTAAACCAAAGACGTGGCCCAAACAGTCCAAATATCTTGAAATGTAATTTAAGCAAACATTTAAGGTTAACTCAGGAAAATATTCGCTCAATTCCATCAGTGTATACTCAGAAGAGTTAAGTAAGGTATTTGCTAGTACAACCAGAAGTCCAGAATGGTCTGTGAGGAAAATGAAGGCGTGCTGCAGGAGAGATGAAGTATGTGTAAGGAGGGTTTAAGTATTTCCTAATACTAAGAAGTATATCAGAAGATAAACCACGAGTTTATATATAATTATTACTCATAGTAGCCTTCCAGTACTTAAAGGGGACTACAGCAGAGGTGGGGAGAGACTCTTTACCAGGGAGTGTGGGGACAGGACGAGGGGTAACGGTTTCAAACTGAAAGAGGGAGATTGAGATGAGATATTGGGAAGAAATCCTTCCCTGTGAGGGCGGTGAGGCCCTGGCCCAGGCTGCCCAGAGGAGCTGTGGCTGCCCCCTCCCTGGCAGGGCTCAAGGCCAGGCTGGATGGGGCTGGGAGTGACCTGGTCTGGTGGGAGGTGTCCCTGCCCAGGGCAGAGGGTTGGGACTAGAGGATTTTTAAGGTTCCTTCCCACCCAAACCAGTCTACAATTCCATGTCCAAAGGGTCATGGGAATACTGCTCATTCCCTAAACTGGACCTAAAAGCCCTTTGACTACTTTTATGTACGTTATATAGGTGATGTGACACATGACACATGAAAAACCTTGGTTTAGGAGCAAGTAGGAGAGCAAAACTTTAAAGATTAGAGAGCACAGTGACTAATAAAAAAGTTCTACTTTCAAATGAAAGAGAAGATGTTACACATTTCATCAGAACAGCAAGCAAGAGCTTTTGCTCTTCTCTAAAAACTACCCACCAGGGAAGTTTAAGTAAACCTACAACGACCAGTGACACTAGGAAACTAAACAAACCGAACGAACAGGGTCTTGTGATAGTCACAAAACGTGCAGTCTGTCAGCAGGTTCCCCGTACGTTAGGAAACGACTAATTACTTTACAGCTGTAATTGGCAATTCGATATATTCAAATCTTGGCATACAGGAACAAAGGGTCCTTACTACTAAGGTGAAGAACAGCTATAAAAGGTAAGTTTAAGTGCAAACTGAATTCTCTCTTCTTCTGCAATTAACAGGTAACCTGGTGGCCCAGGTAAAAGGAAAAGCTTGTACCACTCTTCAGTTCAGTGCTGTGTTTCCCAGCTTTTTTTACTTTACCAAAACTATATATTTAAGACAAGTAATAAACAAGCATTAAACAGAGGAAAGGGAATTTATAACAAAAACAGAACATCAAATTGAAATCCCACAATTCAAAATGTGCAAAACAGAAGACATCTTAAACAAAACTATTAGGAATATGAGCTGCGTAACAACAACTCAACCACCATTTACCGTGTTTCTGATTGGAATTTTCTTCGGTTCTGGCGGCACATCCTGAGGAACAAATTTCACTGGTTCCTTAATCTGCCTCCTTGATCTTTTGGTCCCATCTGGTAAGGTTTCCATGGCGATATCAGCCTCCATGTCACTGCTACCTGCCTGGTCACACTCTGAGCACTGCCTGCAAAGTGGAAGATTTTTCTATTTAAAACTGCAGCCACAAAAGCAGAAAAAGAAACACATTGAAGTGTTTGGGTTTAAAATAAAGCCAAAAGTCAAGAAACACAACGGGCACCTAAAGAAGTCACTCAAACATAGGATATTTTAAGCAACAAACAAGCAAGATGTCCTTATTGCTGAGTTTTTTTCTGACAGTATTTAAACTTTGAAAACCAAAATTTTGAAAGTAGGATTTAATCTTCAAGACAGATGCACCCGATATCACCATCAGCATCCTACCACATCCCCATTTTTAACGGTGCCCACTGATCTGTAATCTATTCATTAGTGTAACTGCTGCTGCAGTTTAATCTTTACAATGACACACTGCTGAATCCAGTCCGATGAGAGCACTCTTTAGTGGCAGGGATTTAGAAGACGTGGCTGTTATGAAAATCAATTTTAATAGTATTTTCTAAGGGAGTGGGTTTTGAATCTGAAAAAAAAACAGTCAAGAGACAATTAAAGATACAGAAACTGGAGACTTACATTAACAAACCTGGAACACTGAGTTGAAAAAAGTCCCTACTGAGGTTTTGAAAAAGCACAAGATCAGAAGTGAACAGATGCTAAGGTAACGCTGTTGATGAGCTCCATGACAGAATTAACAAGATGGGAATTCATCAAGTTTTGCTCTTATTTGCAGAAAATATTCATCTTATGCAACTAAAAAGATGTTAATGAAAACTTTAAAATTACACCAACTGATAAGAGCCAGTTTTTTCATTCCTTCTCACATTACACTTCCAAATCAAAAAACTACAAATCCTTTCAAACAAATTCCAGTTCATCACTGTTCTCATATTAAACATGCTTTTTTTTTTTACAATACCAACCAAAAAAACAAAACAAAAATCAACATTATGTTCTGCTATTAATAGGCATCACCAGGGCATTTAACAGGCACACAACACAATATAATTTATCTAAACGAAGGAGTAAAACTGCTTTGGAAGGAGACAAAGGAAAACCATGGACTTAAGTATTTGAAGTTAAATGTTGATACACACTTGTGACAAGAAGGCATCCCCATCCCGTACCTAAGCTAACGCACAAAGTCAGGTACATATGTTGTGTCTGACCGATTGCCTCAAATGTAAATGTTCCACAGGGATAGTTTTTCCTCCTCAGCAAGGGTTCACACCACATCAACTCCAGCAGCTTTCCATGTTTTCTAATTCTTCCAAATCAATCCAGCATAATCTCAGGTCTCTCCTGGCTATACCAAAAGAGACCAGCACTCGTCACAGTCCGCCGGACAGACCAGTGGCTACCAAGTCCAAACAGAGGGGAACTAATCCTGGACTGGGTAACTCATCAGTGTAACCTTGGCTACGTCGACACCTTTCTCCTTCACTTTTTCCATATGTAAAATTAAGAGAATTGTGGCTACATCATAATGTTATGAAGATTAATCACTTCTTCTCCGTAAAGCACTCGAGACCACGGGGAACAGGGCACGTGCTAGCGCTAGTAGTATTGGCCAGTCTAGAAAAGAAGCACCGCCACAGGGTACATTGAAGCAAAGAGGACAGGCTCTCCCCTCCCCTCCCTCATCTAAGTAAGGACACTGTTAGTAGCCAAAACACAAGGAAGTCCCTTTATGCAGTTTTTAGACTTTGCAAACAGTTTTGGGCCAGCATACAACTGTGTAATACTCTGTTCTTCCTCCTCTTTACAAACACCAGTTCACTACAGGGGGCTGGAGCATCTCCCCTACGAGGAGAGGCTGAGAGCCCTGGGGCTCTTTAGCCTGGAGAAGAGAAGGCTGAGAGGGGACCTTATCAACACTTATCAATATCTAAAGGGTGGGTGTCAAAGAGTTTGGGGCCAGGCTCTTCTCAGTGGTGCCCAGCGACAGGACAAGGGTCAACGGGCACAAACTGGAGCCCAGGAAGATCCACCTGAACACGAGGAAAAGCTTCTTCACTCTGAGGGTGGCAGAGCACTGGAACAGGCTGCCCAGGGAGGCTGTGGAGTCTCCTGCTCTGGAGATATTCAAAGCCCATCTGGATGCAGTCCTGTGTGACCCGCTCTAGGCTGACCTGCTTTGGTGGGGGAGTTGGACCAGATGATCTCAAGGTCCCTTCCAACTCCTACCAGTCTGTGATTCTGTGATACAGCCACAGTACCTGTGAACATTTCTAGCCCTCTTTAGGACGCCAAAATACCAAACCAATAGGAAAGTATAAGGTCTAGTAACTTTCACAAAATGCCACTTTTTACAGTTGCACATTTATATGAATTTGTGTGCATATACACACGCACATCAGTAAATAAACAAGGGCACAAAGACCAAACTACCCTTATTGTCATTTTTGCAGAGAAAGGCTCTCCAATGAGGTAACGCAAGAGAGACACTTCAGAGAGAACAGCATTCCCTCAAAATTTTGTCTGGCTGCTTAGCGAAAGGTTACTTTCTGTTCTTTACTTTTACATGATGCATTGTCTTCAACTCAAAACTCTAAGGAGGTGTCCTGTTTGGCAAGCCTCAGAGAGCACAGCCCCCCAGAACACTGCAGCATCAGTCAGGTCGTTAATTTATGTAGTGGAAGGTGAACAACTGACAGTACTTACTGTGATCTGCTTATGCAGATGTAAGCAACAGCTATGAGAGTGTTCAAAAGTATTGTGATGAGCAATTCTTACAAAAAGTTTTATTTTCCCCGTAATTATGGTAAAAATACGTACTATGTACAAATTAAAACAGATGCATTGTACCACTAAAAAGCTGCATTAAAAAAATTGAAGTTTTTAAAAGACAAAAAATATAGTATGATTTTGCAGCAATATTTGGAGTTGGGAACTCAGTCTCTTGGATCTACCACCCTGCACCCACAATTTAAATCATTCCTGTCCTTTAGCTCTGTGCTCTTAAAAGGCAAAGACACCGTTTTTTTTGGCTACGTAAGTTCACAGTTGTACAGAAAATAACTATGCAGATCATAAAGCACTTTCATTTCATTAGAGCCCTATTTAAATATGAATAAAGGAAACATTTTAACTTTGAGGAAGTGAGGAAGACAAGAAACATCCCTGCCAACAGATGAGGTACCGCAAGCAAGTTCCTGAAATTCCATTTTTGCGACTGAGCTTCCTCTGAAAGAGGTGGAGCAAGTGTCACAGCCATCTAAACTAGAAAAAAGCTAGATCTACAAAAAGAAAGCTGCAAAAACATAGTAGGGTAGGGGAGGGCTGCGAATCACAGAACAAGACTTCCCAAATACACCAAAGGTGAGGGGGAAAAAAAAAAGAAAGTTATAAACATGAACTTATAAGCAACTCCTGATTTACTGGAATAGCCTCTACTGCCACAGGCAACCAGATCTTATCAACCCTATTATAAGGCAGTGAAGCTCCAGCTATAAAGGAGTTGGGTTGTAAGCTCCCATAGGGCTCACAGAAAAGCTATTACGGACACACACTCCTCTGCCTTGGAACCAATCTGCTAACTTTCAGCTCCTATTACGGTTTATTTCAACACTGTTCTTGAATTTAAAGAACTCTTTTTTTTTTTTCCCCATTCTGCTGTTTAACCCCAACATATTCATAGAAAGCAGACACACGACTTTTGGCTATGCCCAAGTCCTGCTCATCTAATTTCACCTCTTTGAGGACCATCGGTGAATAGAGAACCGACCACAACGGGTCACCTTTCCAACTGCTCCCACAATCTTCAACTACCTCTAAATCAGCCGGCGCTGCCACGCAGCACAAGCAAATTAACAGGAGCGGTGCCAAAGATTCAACTTCCGTACACGGGTTTTGCAATAATATGCCTGCTATTAAAAATTACTGGAAATGGCTGATCCATCAAGAAATCTCAGTGATGATCTGAAACCTTCTAATCACAGAGAAACTCTTTGCTTAAGCACTAAAAACCTACAGAAGAAAAAAAAGTCGCGTGGTTTTGTTGCGTTTTCAATCTGACTTGCTACAAGAACCAGCGGTACCAGAGATACCTTCCCACCTCACAAAGCAAACGGATCTTCCCAACTCACCAGCAACAGACAAGACCAGCAAGTGAAAAGGAAGATGCACTATTAATTTTTAAAAATTATTAACGGTCCAGAATAACACCAAAACATCGCTTTTGCGTAACTTCACGACGCAAATGGTTTGGCATTGCCTGGTGGGGAGTAGATTTTTGAGTATGGGGAGCTTCAAGAAACACGTGAACCTATAATGGGGCTTTAGTAAGCAAAGACCAAGGAGTTTATGAAGTTTTAGCAACTGATAGCATTAGCCTTGAACCTAGAAATTTCCAACGTGAAAAAGCGAACACCTACCTCCCTGAGAAAACAAGGAGGGGAGGGATAGTTTGGAGACGGGGTGGTTTTATGGTGAAGTGGCAATGAAAACCGTAGAAACCCCTTACCTCCCCAAAAATTCAGTGCCAAAAAAGTCATTATGATGCTTCCTTATGCTGTGGCTTTACACATCAAAAAAACCACCTAAATGCACTTTAACTGATGGGCCTGGCACAAGGGAAGTTGTGAAGTGAGGATGAGAAAAGCCGAAGGAACACCAAACCCCATTCATAAATGAAAGGTGACGAAGCTGAAGATCTCACAAACAGGGCTCAAAGCCAACGTCCTGGTAAATTTAACACGAATCTCTCTTTACTTTTGAAATTTTAGTAACAAAGCAAACAACATCTTTGCTACATGAGACAGAAAACCAGATGAAACATATGAAAACATTTCACTGAAAAGGTAACACTACAAAAACTAGGAGAAAAACCGAGGTTTTGTTCAACTATCACAGTACAGGTGAATTAGACTGCCTTAACTGTGTCATGGTATGTAGTTTCAGAGTGGCTTGTGTGATGAAAATACTAAGGACTCTGTCTGAACAAGCCAGTCGTTCTTATAAGCACAACTGGGCTGGAAAAGGATTTGGAAGGAACCAGCATCCTCTGCACCCAGAGCTTGCTTACTGTGAAAAGAGTAAATTTCAACGTTCTGTGCTGAGTGAACACCACTCCAGTGCTTCCAGAAAACAGCTCTGCCCTCAGTGTTTAAGAAGGAAACCTGCGCAGTTAATAGAGTTTGGGTTGTTTTTAATGAAGAAGGAAACGGTTCTGGTAGACATACTCTGTGATAAATCACTTCTTGCCCTGTCTACAAAGAATCAAACCACTTTGAACTCGAGAAACATGGACCATGGTTTTAAGATGACACCTATGCTCTGGTAATTTGAATAAATCACATGTTAAATGATGTACTGGGTGTGGAAAAAAAAACCCCAAGGAGGACTGCTGTTATTCTGGAGATCAAAGACAGTATTTATGAACCAAAAAGAAGTTTGTCAAAGAGCACCTTTCAGACAGTAAAGGCACTGAAAACTTGCCATTTGCAATGACCCAAATATCCTTTGATTAGGACAAGTGATAAATACATAAAAATTTATGTTATATGCAACATTATATTGCACTCACACAACTTAATAATTTTATACCATTATCCAATGTAAAAACAATCAAGATGTGCCGGATCAGTACTGAACGAGCAGGGTCAGGAGTAGGAAGGGATGTCCAGATACTGAATGGGTGTTCACGGGACTACTGGTCAGGAACCCCACAGCTCATGCTGTCCGGTGGCCAATACTCCCACAGCAGTTACCACTAGAACAACTTGGCCCTCCAGAACACAAATAAAACCCACCAAGCATAATGTGAGCATTAGTCCTTGTTCTCCGTTTCACACACTACCAGAAGTTTAGGATGAGAGGAAACGGCCTCAAGTTGCACCAGGGGAGGCTTAGATTGGACACGAGGAATAATTTCTTTACTGAAGGAGCGGTCAAGCACGGGAACAGGCTGCCCAGGGAGGTGGTGGAGTCACCGTCCCTGGAGGTGTTCAAAAAATGTGTAGATGGGGCACTTTGGGACATGGTTTAGTGGGCGTGGGGGTGTTGGGCTGACAGCTGGACTTGATGATCTCAGAGGTCTTTTCCAACCTTAATGATTCTATGATTCTAAGTTATCACTGTTTTTTCAGCAATCTCACTTCAACAGCAGGAGCCAGTCCCCGTTGGCAGCTGCCAAGTATTTTCTTAATGAAAATGTCATTTTACAATCAGATTTTGATTCATTTTATTGTCTGTCAACACTTGTGCATTGCTTTTGTACCAGTTCAGAGCATTCTCTAGCAGGAAAACACACAATTCCCAGTCCATCCAGAACAGGCAGGCGCATAAAAGCACACAAGTTGTCAGACAGAATGACAAGACTTAATTTTATAACACGTGAATCAAAAGAATATTCTGGTGCTTAATCAACACGATTTCTAAGAAACTAAAATCTCAAATTTTTAAATACAAGTGTGCCTCAGCACTTTACTCCACGATTAGAGCTGCTGGTCTGCTTTGAAAGCACCACATCAAAACAGTCAGAAATGAATGCTTTCGTGTTTTGTTACATAAAATAGTCATTAGGCTCTTCCTCTCAAAATACATCCATCTGAAACGAGGACAGGCTTTGAACTTACTGCGTATAAACAATTTCCTTCTGAACTATTTGAGATGTATAAGTGTGACCTTGGAGAAAACCGACAGGCCTCTGAACAGGGGAAATGTTCAGCGTTAAGTGCTGGAAACCAGTTTCTAATAAGCTGAGAGACACTGGTGCTCACCAGGTCTGAAACTCTCACTATGATCTCACCAAGATTAAAATCATTACCTCCTTTTAATGTTTAGACACACTGAGATAACTAATCATAATTTGTCCTTTCTTTAACAAGTTAGCTTTTAAATATAAAAGACGATTTAGGTTCTTTTTTCTTACCATTACATGTAACAGTGGATTTGGTTAAACAATTTCAAAATCCTTTTTTATAGAATGTAATTGGAATTTCTATTAAATGCTGGGCATGAAATGGACAAAGATCTACTTAGTATCACACACACAAGCTGAATCATTTGGCATCCTCAAACACAGTATAAAATATGAAGTCTATGGAATAAACTCATACTAACCTATCCCAGGTATAAATAAATATGTTTTGATAAATATGTGACTAGTCACCAAACCTTTTGCAAAGGCTCAAGTTAGCAATTATGAGTAAATGATGAGCAGCGATAACGGAATAGAAAGTAAAAATTAAGAAACAATTCTTTAAACAGTTTCCTGCTTACTATTTTAAAAAAGGACCAAATTCAACATTTTTAACCTCTTTATTTAAAGTTTTCAACCTGCCTAACGTTTCAAGGAATTTCCCACTATACCCGTTTTCTTATTTTATCTTTTTGCAAAAGTTCCCATTATATCCCATGCAAATGTCTGAAAAGTACTCGGCCCCCTGTATAAAAAAAAAATATAAAAATTCACTTTTCTTCATAGCTTAATCAAAAGATTAAAATTGTATTCAAAATGGTGGTGGGGGGGGAAACCTGCGGAACTCAACCTTAGATTAAGGATCCGTTCTATACGCTCTCTCCTAATCCTGAAAAGAATACACAAAGGCATGTTCAGTGATGAAAAGGAAGCAACCAATACAGCTCAATTTGTCTGCTATAACCTCACACTCCAGAATATGCCTTAGCTAATTAGCAGTAAAAGCTAAGTTTGTGATCTGAGATCTAATTGAAGCATGAAATTCACAACAAAGATAAGTTAGAGCTTTGAAATAAAAGCGTTTTCCTACCTAACCTGACCTATTCTGCCTTTAATACCTACAGAGAATTGTCGTCTTACATCTTTTGGGCTGATGGCTCTTAGGGAGCCTTTTCAACGCGGTTAAAAAGCAGCACAAAAATCAAGAACCTCCTGTGCAAATGTAGAAGCTACCAAAAAATAAGAAAAAATGCTTCCGTGTAACATAACTACTTGGCAAATTTGACCAGAGAGCTCAGAATGCCCTTGAAACAATGAAAAGTCCAAAATCACAGACTACATTAAATAATTAAAGGAAAATTAAGTTCAGGAAAATGTTAGTGATGGTGAAAACTTTTCTGAGATTTTCAGCTTTTAAAGGAAATCTCTATTAATTTACTAACTAAATTTGCTGCAGTGAACACAGGTTTTGTCACGTCAAGTTATAAAAAAAGAGAGCTCTCCCATTTCATGTACTAGCCATCTTGCTCTGCGCACAATCATCAAAAGTACCCAAAAAGATTACTGAAGCAAATGTTTCATGGAAGCTTTAAAAAAATAAAAATAAAATTCAGAGACATACGAGGAAAAATAGAAACCAAGTCTTCTCAGTTAAAAACAGTTTTAGTGTATTTTTGGAAGCAATTCTTACACTGTTCTGATTTGGTACCTTAACGTTCAGAGAGGTGAGGATGATTCCTGGAGATGTTGTACACCACTTTCTTGCCAGCTAAAAACCTGCTTCTGAATAATTGCTTTTAACACATTTCGGAGCAGTTTAGCACCACACAGAACGCCCACACAACACAGCAGCACACCAATCTGACGGCAGTTGGAAATCCGCACCTTCACCACGTTATCGGCTCTCCATTGTACCAGTGAGGTTTTGTTCTGCTCCACTGCCACAAAAAGAATTTTAATTCCTGGAGATGTAACTGCAGTAAGCACTTGGTTATGCATATGGCATTGCAGAACGGAGTCATAAGACAGAAGTAAAGCCAACTGATTTCCCATATTGCAAGAAACTGATCTACAAGGTTATTTTTAAGCGTTTAGAAGTATTTTCCCATAGAGCTGGACAGAGAGTTGCATACCTGGGTCCTAAGATAAACAGAAGACCAAGTGTTTCATTTCCTGGAGACAGCCCATCATTTTTTACCATTATTATATAGCAGCATTAATAATTACAAACAAACTCAAAAGCTAAGAAAATTAAAGCTATGATCTAGACAGTGGCTAACAACGAGAAATTCTTTACAACTTTTTTCTTTTACCTTGAAATAGCACTGCTAATAACCTGAAAATAAAATACCTCAGTTCAGACTGAATTATTGCAAGGTCTAAAACACTTAACATTTCTCAGTTTATTCATGCCTACGTCCTACTTTAAGTACAGAGACATCACAAGACAACACAGCAACTGCATTCTTACCAGTAACTGTTCTTGGTCTTCCTTGGCATCCTTGTAAGAGGTGGATCCAGGCAACCAAGATGATAATGGAGTTTACAAGTATCACACAGCAGCAGTAGGTGTTGATCATGGTTCTTCTTGCAAATTCCACAACTTTTAATGCAGGTAGCAGAAAAAACATTATCATTACGTTTGACTTCATAAAGAACAAAGGATACACCCCAGCACATTCCCCAGTTTCAATACAAACACGGGGCAGCTTCAATTTGAATGCATCATTTAAGCACATAATTACTTTCTAAGAAAGCTTCTACCTACACATAGTAAAGCACAAAAGGCACCTAATATAGTTTAACTTAACAATAAAATGCCTTTCAATCTAGTTTTTTGAGGACTTCTAACCAGTAAGTAATCACTTGATACTTCAACAAAATGTACCAGTGGCAAATGGAAAAAATACTACCTGTGCCATCCAAATGCTTAAGTAGAAAAGTATGTTGCTGTCATCAGTCTTAACAATCATATGCTTATTTTAATAACAGAAGCACCTTGAAATAGGCCTGTGCTGCTATTCTGTTGGGCAATATAACAACTCACAAGAAATTACATTTCCTTTTTAGTACTATTATTATTTTACTGGAATTGAAATTTTAGGTGTTTCAAGAACATCAGGTATTCATTGATTCCACTATAAAACGGGAGGAACGAAATGACTGGATTTGAACAGAGCAGAACTATTAAACCAGGACTCCCATTATTTGTTGGTGAACACCTCCAAATCGCCAAATCCTCAGCCCACTGCCACGTTCTCAAGATTTCCACCTCTCACAGAACTAGAATTAACTTCTCCTTCTGTAACCCATCTTCTCCGTTTCGCCGGCTAGCTGGGCAAGGTACTGCCCACTTGCTGTGGGCTGGAGGCCTGGCTGCTGCTCTCTAGAGAAGCGACAGACCGCGCCACTTCTCCGCTGGTGATCCAAGGCAACACGTGTGTTTTGCACAGTCATGCCCTGGGATCCTAGCGTACGTTCCGCTGTTGGGCTTAGTTAAAACCCAACCGGCAGCTTCACCACTTATAGACGAGGGGAAAAGGTGGAACAGTGACAGAGTAGGTGAATACATTTTATTTTCTTGGGAATTAAAAGTAGGGAAATTTAAAACACGAGATATCCCGGAGCATTTAACAACACATGAGCAAAATTCTTAGACGACCAGTGTTTTGTGTACCCAGGCACTGGGACTAAACAGCAGCAGCAGCGTTTGCAAAGTCACCAACACAGATGACTGCGCTGAAAAGACAAGATGACCACTTAAAAAATTTCCAATCACAGAGACAGGACCCTTCTATTTCAGCTGTAAAGAGCTACCTTTGTCCTTCAAGCACTGCTGTCAAACTAGTGAACAAAACCCCCAAACCTCACCGCTGTGTGCTAAGGTGAAGAGCTGACAACCGTTCAACTCAGCCTTCAGAAAACCTATAGCCAGCTCTGAAGCATTTTGTTAACCAAAACCAAAGCAAACAATTTTCTCTCTTAACACTCGTGTGAAAGCATATCGCACTAGATACTGCATCTATTCTGTCAAGACTTCATTACTTGCCTATAAAGCACGGCTGGAAGCGTAGATGTCTTTTGTGTTCCTCCTTCCTTTTTACTTGGTTTCCTTTCCTTAGGAGCACGTAAAATTGCTGGTATGTTCAATTTCTATTGGATTTGAACAAATGCAGCACACGTGAGTCTTGAGACTGTTAAACCACATCGAACTACTAGCTTTTAACATTTTTTATTCAAGCTTCAAATAGAGGGATGGGCAAGGACGCATTTCTCGAGGCAGCTGAAACAAGCCAAGGCAAATTCACAAAACTGACAGAAGAATACTGAGGCAGTTTATTCTCCCCAACATCCCTGCTACAGTGGTGCTCGATAGGTTAATTAGAAAAATTATCTTATTGGACCAAGCCCTCCACAAAGCAGATGAGATTCTCTTCGGGTTTCTACTAATCTGCAGTACACTAGCTTCTCAGACAGCAGCCATCTATCAAAGTCATTTCTCAGCAGCCCCGTGGGTCTGCATCTGTTCAACCAACTGGAAAAAAAAAAATGTCGTGCAAGCTGTGTAAATGAATTCGACTCAACTTATCTTCTTTTATTTTTTTTCCTCATTTAGTAACGTTTGCACCAGGAAATGTATTTGTGAATACTGACTCAAAGCCATCTTAAAAAGGAGAGAAAAAAAATAATCTTGCTTCAAGGATAGGTTATGTGAGAACCCTTCTTCACATGTAGAAAAGAGAGGTGGGGGCAAACAGAACCAGAAAAAGCTAGCATACCTTAAGAACTACTACTGCATTAAGAAAGGGGAAGCTTCATTTTCTGAACAGCAGGACTCAGCAGACCAAAGGGCATGACAAAATGATGACCTAATTGTAGGTCTGCATTTTCACAATGAACAGCTTCATCAGTCTTCCTTAAAATCATCACTGGAAATCATTTCAATCTCTGACATCTCAAACGAACATTGCCATTTAATACCTTTGACATAAAACATACAGCAAAACACTGCAAGAATCTACACTTCTCTCTCTTCCCCGTCTGAGAACAAAGATAATTGCTGGCTACAAGAAGTAATCCAGATCTCCTCTCCTCCTAGAGTTCTATATTCATTTGACTGAAATAGTCTGCTCTGTCCAGTTAAAAAAATATAATCTTTAAAACCGCAGGTACCTTCTGCAGTTTTAAAGATTTATATCTCACAAAAACCATCAGAAGTTACCATATCATTTGGTCTACAGTAACTGAAGACAATATGGAGCCAAAAATGGTAGGATTAACTCCTGCTGCACGTTAAGGTTCATCACAAATGACAGGTCAATCAGTTATACCAAATGAAAGAATTTTGCAAAGAAGATGGCTATTACAACAACAAAATTAAGCTACAGGTTCCCAGTAGGTGGTGTGCAGAAGTCTAGTATTTCAATCAGGAAACGTTATCCCCAGAGTAAAGCCTGGGTCTGATCAAATCAATTTATTTGGCCACAGAAGTGACAAACAGAAACAAAAAGGCCTATTCTTGGAAAACCAGGTCTGCCTATGAACTATAAAGAGGATGGAAAAAAAAAAAACCCAAACCAACCAACCTGTCCAATGATTCTACCCAGCAGAGCCCAAATGCCTTGCCCTTCATTGCGCAGTTTTCCATTCATATTTTGTAGCTCTTCCAAGGACTCACACAGCTGAAAATTAAAGAAAAAAAAATTCAACAGGAATGACAAGCCATTAAGAGTTATTTAATAAAATTTATTTGACCTCTTGCCTATCTAGGGTGCATTACTGTGGGATTAAAAAAACAAACCAACAGAACTCATGTCAATATAGCTGAGACCAGTGCCATCACTCAGCAATTTAATAGAATTAAGATGAAAATCTGGGCAGCCACCTGTTTTGTAAAGACAATCTGAGGCATTTCAGCATGAAAATAAGATTTCACAAAGTCAAAACCAAAACAGCAACATTTTGCATGTGTCGTCCATGCAGCAAGATTGTAACAACCAACCACAGAAATGAATTAAAGCTCTGTATCCTCGTACCAAAGAACATTCCCTCACTCTCACAGAAAGAGATACAATTCATTAAAGGATGCAAGAGGAAAAAAAAGGGTTTTTTCCTTCTGGAAGTAACTGTTGGTTACCACCCAGCCTATACAACCTACTAACTCGGTTAAAAGCCCCACGCACAATCTCCGTCCCCTCTACCATCTTCGGGCAGTTCACAAGGACCCGCTGCCTCATTTCTGTATGTTCTCATTTAAAACACACACCCAACAGTCACAACGCTTTTTTTGTCATCACTAACCACCACTCCACAGGTTGCTGAATTCAGCAAGAATTCCAGTGTGTCATCTGTCACAAAAGGTACAGTATTTCTACGTTTCATTTCAAAATATTTAAAGATTAAAATAAACAAATATTTTTTTTAGTAAAAATGCAATTAAAACAAAACTTTTTTTTAAACTATGATAATGAGTTAATAAAAAAGATTACATTAGTGACATTTTGGGGGAGCAACGTCCTCCTTTATGGGCCTCAAATTTCCTGGACTCAAACAAAACAAGCAGAGGACATTATGGATGTGCGAATACTGATTATTTCCGCCTGAAAAATTAGCCAAGTCATTAAATCTAGGATGAACACAACTGGAGTTGGAGTTGACATAAATAAATATATGAGTAACATCCGACAATCCTAGATTCCAAATTACCAAGTAGGGTTCTAAGCAGACAACCAGTCAGGTTCAAAAAGAACCTACAGCTACACATGAGCAAAACAAAACAAAAAAAAAAGAGAGCGAGGAATCAAACTGTGTGGTCCCAAATGAAATATGTACAAAGAATGAAAAAAGAAGGGTTTTGAGACACAGTTCAGTCATGAGAGGGACCTGTGTGTCCCCTCCTAATTTGTTACTGGAGCTCTCAGGGAGGCCAGTTCAAGAACTGGTGCCCAGCCAACACAGGACATTTTAGAAGTTGATTTTACTTGTAGGGATGCGATGGACCACAGAATATTTTTTTAAAGAATAAATATATTTTTAAGTATTACTTTTAAAGAAAGAATAATCTATATCTTTCTTCCTAAGTCATTCTGTTTGGAAAGCAAAATGCTATCAAAGTTAACAGCAGCAATACTAAAACAGTACAATGGTTTATTATCCCCCTTTCTTCACCTTATTATACTCCACATGAAGCTTTTCTTGCTCATTTTCTAATTTATCCTTGATATTCTTCTGTTCAGCCATATTCTCCTGGATTTGAATCATGCGCATATTCCGCTCTATTTAAAAGAAAACTGCATTATTTCCCATCTGTGGAAATATTTTCAAGTTTTACACACTGAAAAAAGTGAAGCAATGCAAAGCATAAAACCCTAACAATACAAAAAGCACAAAACCCACACCTATACCTACAGGTTTATTACACAGATAGAATGTTAAAAAAAAAATATATGTTTTGCTACACTAAATAGTATAGTTATTTAAATGTTGAGCTTTGATCAGACACCTAGCGAACAGTCCCAAAGACAGGCTATTCCACATAGAAATGGAGGAAAATGTAAGGGGAGAAAAAAAAAAAAGATACCAAAGGATACCTAAGCTTCCACTCTCTTCTTAGCAAAGACAGTTTAGCCTCCTGTTTATATTGGAAAGAACTTCTTTTCTGAAATGTCTTAAAAACACAGCTTTCTGTGTAAATAGATAGACCAAGCAATAATATACCTGACCTAAAATGAAGCTATAATTCATATTTATCTATGAACAACAATGAAATCCAAGTAAAATCAAAAAGCTGATGATCCAGCACAGCACAAACACAGGAAAGGGATAATTTCTCATTGAGGAAAACCACACCATTTTCATCCTTACCCAGGTAATAATTCACAAAATCAGCAGTGAGAGCTGGCTGTTTATGTTTTCTTCTCCCATCGACACTGGAACTAGTATCTGAAGTGTCCACCGGAAAAATGTCGGTGCTGATGCCCATCAGCTCGGCCTTGCGCATGAGCTTGCGTATGGCCGACGCGCTGCTCGTCAGCGGCCGCGGCAGCTTCTCCCGGGGCACCCAGGCCTGCGGCCTGGTGGTGCGGGCCAGCTCCGCCTTGGCACGGTACTGCTGTAGCCTGGCATTGATCCGAGCCTGCAATAAAGAACCCCGTGGATTAAAAACATCGGGGATTGATTCAAAATCGGTTTTGAGGCACATCCTTTTGGAGCACACCCGCGTTTTATTTTCATTTTAAAAACCGCACGATCTCATCAACGCCGTTTTCATGCCGGAACTCTACGACTCCAACAATCAGCCATTGATACGGACGTTTCATTTTACTACAAAACACAAATAACATTATCCTTTCACTCCGTTTTGGAGCGACTCACAGGTTTCTTGATGAGTAATGAAAGTAACACGAGTGATTGCTGGCTTTCAGAAAATCCCTTCTAATGATAATTTGATGGGACTGTGAAAAATCACTACTGGGAAAAGCCTTGGCTGACCTATCAAAAATACATTTAGATACGCTTTAAATTGGAATCTACATGAGCATTCTTGCCATTTTTGACATCCTTTTGTAGCAGCTCCTTCCTCAAGGCCGCACCTCTTTATAAACCTTAAACTAGCTAATTATAACGTGCCAAAACCACAACCCAAACAGAAGTGAAGTAGGCAAGAGCAGCTCACAATACGTATCGTTGATGACATCCGTATATTTGTGACCATCTGGGAGATCTACCCCAGAAGATCAAGTTGTTACTGACAGTTGGAAAATACTGTCTTGTGGGAATTCTATGCAGCGGCAACTCTGGCAGAAAGTGACATCAACATACAAACCTTCAGAGGCAGAACTCCGGCTGGCTATCAGTTAGAAGTTGTTTATTTGCCTGCAGAAAGAGGAAACTAAACTAATCCAACTGCCCCACCATATGGTACGAGAAACCCCTGAGACAAGAGCAAAAAAAAAAGCACGCATACATCTCTACACGCTACGGTTGAGGATCTTCTCTGATTACAAACAGAATCGTTGAAGGTAACGCTAGGGACAGTTTAACACACATTGCCTCACTAGGTCTTGAACATCCATGACCAAGAAACACAGCAAATGTGCCTTGCACGCCAGCTCTGACCCGAAAGGCTTCTTTCTTGGACCCACAGCAGCAACAGATCCACCTACAGCCCCCGCCTCTTTTTTTATCTCCACTGGAAGGACCAAGGATGGGTTTTGGCTTCCTCAGCTCAGATGCTTCTTTACTGATGACACGCTCAAGTTCTGAAACCCGTGGGGTCATTTAAGCTGCCGCACAACTGTACACCTAGAGCCTTCCTCCAGAAACCGATGACAGATTAAAACGACTAACATCGAAACAGAACCCTGAACTCAAGCTACTTGGATTTAAGCAATTTTCAAGTATACATTTTACTCAAGGAATGTGCATTTCCTTTATTGATATAAAAACCGTACATCTTCCAACAATTGATAACAGTCCTAGACAGCTTTGTAGATTACACCCTTTCGAGGGATTTACTCTCTTGGGCCACATGAGTTGCCAGATCATTGGCTCAGTTATTCCTGCCTGGGCTACAAAGCACCAAATATCCATTTTTTTCTCCTTCAAAAGTATGACTCAAAAATCCACTTTCACCAGATAAATTATTTGTACAACTGTATATTTATTTATGTTCGCTCACTGTTTGTAAACCTTACTTAAGCCTACAAACTCTCCTGGAAGTGAGCTCTTGTATTTACACACATACACCCTCTGTCATACTTTTTTTTTTTTTTTTCCCCCCACTTCTTCATCTTTTTTTCCCAGACTAAGCTGCCTCAAGATTCTTATTTCTCAGACAAAGTCCTAATTTAACAAAGAAGATTGAATTTACTGGTGGGATTTCAACTTCCTCGTGCAGAGAACACACGGTAAGGGGTGAATTTAGACGTACGTTGTGTCCACTCCCCAGTCAGACATTTCCAGTACATGTTCAGCACCTCTCACAGTTCTGCCCTTCTAAAAAGGCACAGAAACCCCTCAAAGAGAAACAATTACTTCATAAGAAGCCAATACATACAAGTGGACACAGAAATTTATTTTTCAAGCATCCAATCTGTTTCCATCCATGTCAACTCAGGCACACACACACGATACTAACAAACTCCTACACCACCACCAGAGCCCTCCACAGCGAAACAAGTGGTTTTACACAACGTAGGCCAGTTACCACGTTTGTATCCAGGTGCCTATGACACCACGTCAAGTCACTCCACCTGCAGTTTTCAGCATTCGTTTCCAAACATTTAATCCCAACAACTGAGATTCAAAAAGTCTGCAGGGCCTTGGTCTGGGGGAAAGAGGAGGAAGAGAGGGAAATGCCGGGAACTTCTCAGCGCCGCAGAACAAATGCCTGACACCAGAGCTAACCAGCCCTGTCGGACCCAGACGGATTTTGCACAACCAGCACTTACCGTTGCGTTGGGCAGCGTTCGTGTTATTGAGATTTCTCCACTACATAAGGTGCACTGCACATGATTGAGAGCAGAGTGTACTCAGCAAGAATAATGTAACCAGTTTTACACCAACCTACACAAAGACCAATACCCCATAGAAATATTTCACCCAAATTCTTCTAAAATAGTTTGCTCCTATTCATTCTCAACTCACGGGTCATTTTAAATGAATATTCTCTTCTCCTAATCAAACACCTTTGAAGAACTACAAAGGTATGATTTTAATTTTTTTTTAAATAAAAAGGTAGACGATGTGAGGATTTATTTTCTCATGATTACACTACAGCTCTTCCTCCAGAAAAAAAGCAGTTATTTCCCTCCCATAACTGCCTTCCATTATCTACAGCACCTGCTTCTTTCTACAACCAATTAAGCAGGATTCATTCAGATAACAAGCTGCTTTTCTACACAGGTATGATTGTTCCACAGAATGCAATTCAGCCTAAGCACTGAAAGCAAAGCATGGCGTAAATTCCTCAGAATCAGAAAAAATAAGAAAGTACACGCATCAACACGCACCAAAGCGCACAGATTCATGCCCTCAGGACTGAGACCTTTATATCAACAGGACATTCATCGGTTGAGCTTACGCAGTAACTAACAGTTTTACATGGATCTGCCACCACACAGGGATACAGACGATGCCTAAGATTTTCTACAACTCCCACTCAGCAGCACGGTCTCAGTTTCTCTACCTACGTAACTGTTTTATTTGGAAATCTTTACTATGGCAAAACCCAGCACAAAATTCTGCTTAGGCCTACAAAAAGTGAAAAAGGATCTAATAAGGAAAAAAAAAAAAACCTTAGGCAACACAAACTCTTCTGCCAAGTTCAAGATATTACTAAGGGAAAACAATGGATTTTTACTGAACTCGGATGTAGAAATATGCCTGTTTTCTCTTCTGGCTGTGGGTTTTTTTTGATAAGAATCTTCAAGAAAATGTTAAACAAAATCTATGAATTACAATGAAAATGTATTTACCAGCTTTTTGCCACAAAACCCAAGGAAGATTTTTCAATTCAGACAAGCATGGATATCCCTATTTAATAACAGATTTATTGAGAAACGTTCTAGAGACCAAAACCTACAAATAATTCCCTGCTTTGTTAAATGACCACGCACTACCAATACAGTTCACACTTCATTTCCTATTATTATAACCATTTCCCATCCCCTTCATTTCTTTCTTGCTTAACACGGATGATTAATACAATACCTGAGCTTCTGGCGAGAGCTGTTTTTCTCTTTCCTGCAAGGACATTTTACAGTAAGACTGTAATGCCAAGTAGTTCTTCCGCTTCCATTTTCTGTCTAACCTGTCCGCATGCTGTTTACAATAAGCAAAAAAAGGGTCAGCTATGTCCTGTTTCAGAGAGAACAAAGGGGAAGGAACGAAAACAAAGTAAGACACACAAGGCCAAAAGGCTCGGAACAGCACAAACATTCTGGCAATCCGTTCACACGTTCAAACCACACGTTTTTCGTACGACTACTATGTGGGCTCCTAAATCAGTTTTGTTGATGGAATTTACAACTTAAGGTCATTTTCGCTGTGTGACCCTAAACGTTTTTAAATGCATGAACTATTTAACACTCTGTTCAGTCCCTGGGCTATTTTCTCATTCCCATGAACACTGGTGCCTTAAGGACAGATCCCTTTAACAGGTAACCTGTATTGGTAACTTCCTGGTGCTTCACCGTGGCTTTTCCATCATATCCTACACGGGATTAGCAATTCTGAATAATATAAAAAAGCAATGTCTTTGGTTTTCTTAAATGATTTTCTGACTGGTTCTGGTGGCGATACCCCCACCTGATTTATCAGCTCTCACAATTTTTTTTTCCCCCCATTTTTCATTCTTCTCTCCATCAGATCTGCACATTATCATGGCTGTAAGTCCATAGCAACTTTTAGCACTTGCAAACCTTGCAAGCAGACTACAAATATCTGAGCCATGAGGAGATATGGTTTAAGAAGTGTATTTCATTGCTAGTGTATCTTCAAAAGTGTAGAAACCTCATCGTAAATCTATAGACTAAGAAAGAAAACTTAAAGCAGGCTTCCTTCATAAAGTAATAAAAATAGCAATAAATAAATATTAATAAATTTTTGAAATAATGAGTAATTAAAACAATAAATTAAAAAAAATTCCCTTACTCCACCTAAAAAACACAGACCAATAAAATCCACACAGGCATCCCTTAAAAGCATATTTTATTTTGATTTAGGTTTTTAGAGTGTGGGACAACTTACTTCCAAAAATTAGGAGCACCCTACAATCAGACTGTGTGAGGAATTGATTAAAAATATCTTGGTTACAGAAAACACATAACAAAACTTTTAAGGTGCAAAGGCAAGTAAATGCATATGCCTAGAAGACGTCCACAGAGAAGTCCGAAGAATCAACATTACACAGAATTTATTAGGGAGGACAACAACAACAACGAGGTAATTGTGGTGTCTTCCCATTTATCAGTCTCAGAGAAGAAAGTATTTTGTGATTTCTCTAAAAGCCAACCAGTGGCCCCCAGTTTTCAGAAACAAAAGCGTCAGCGACAATAGTGCCAGTGACGTGTGTCTCTGTGTTACCTGTGGTACTACCTAAGGCATTAAGTTAAATTGTGCAGCTATGAACACGACAGCTTAATCCAAATGATATGTATCAGGATGAAATTTGGCAACCTAAAAGTACCTATACCGTAAAAATGAATTCAGAAGTAGGGGCTTCAAATCTAAATTGCTTTAATCATGTTACAGGGAGGAAACTGGTAAGAACAGATATTAAGAAGTTATCAGTAGGTTATAAATGTTTCCTTTCACTCTGATTCCTAGGATTAATGTTCCCACAAGGCAAGTCATACACCTGTATTGCAATTTGAAGAAAATACTGGAAAATGTGCATGAAAAATTGGCACTAGAAATGCAGTTACTTTCTCAAGACAGTCCTGTTCGGTATGAAACAGAGATTCATACACTACATGAACACCAGGCAAGTACGTCAGCCTTGGTCAAGTTCAAGAACTAGAGAGAATTCACAGACGGATGGCCTGCTCAGCAGACTAAGGTGCTGACCTCTTCTGTCCCCTTTCCTGGGCCGTTTCAAAAGGTGCTCCGAGTTGGACCATTTGGTGAACGAAGAGCCCTCCCTGGACAGTCCCTTTACTCGGCCTACAACTTGCTACCCATTCCCAAAAGCTTTGCTCGGGGTTAGCGAGCAGGAAAGGCACAACCTCAGCTCCTCTTCACAAGCTTTCGACACAACCCTTTTATTCCACCCTTTCCACAGCTACCTCTTCTGCCGCTGCTTCCGAGAGGAGGCCTTCCTTCTGAGCACAGGTCACGTGGAAGTAAGCTCTGCACATCCCAGCGTCACAACTAATGCACACACCAGTCCTGGCGAAGCGAGGATCCTCACAAAAACTGCATTCCTTTATAAAGAAGAGTGGAAAAGGCCACAGTCAATATTTCAAGGGCGTTTTGCCTCATATTTGGTAATTTTCATCTTAGATATAAAAACCAAACAGGTAGGTTTGCTCCTGGGGGTACAGAAACCAAGTATGGCTGCTGACAGTTGACCCTACTTAAAACTTCATCCCCTCCCAACTCCCACTATTGACTTCACTTCCAACAAGCAATGGCAAAGTGCTTGAACAACCTAAACAGCACGTGGGATGAATTTTTATATGAACTTCCACGTCTTGTATTCCCCTTCAGAGCAGCAAGTCAATACCACCCAAGCAATTCGTGCACAATTGATTATAGAGCAACGCTATACATGTTCATTCTATAGCATTACATCATATACAGTGTTACATATTATGTAACACTATATATATTTTTATATTATATATTAATTAAATAAAACAATACTACTGTTCAGCAAGTGTTCAAGTTCAGAGGACAAACAACAAAAAAAAGAGCAGTGCACTGGATGACTGAAAACCATGGATAATTACACAGATGTCCTTTGGTAAGTAACGACTGAGGAGTAAGTGTGTGACAACACAGAAATAAACACTCAAGAAGCATAAACATCAGTAAAGAAGGTTGTGATTCCCTTAATCCCTGCACTATGGCTTCAGCTACACGCCAGCCTAGGCACAGCCCCTTGCAGCACAGCAAACTGCCATCCCCTAATGCGACCTGGGAAAAAAAAAAAAACCCTCAAACTTATTTTTCAGCCAGATCAATTCCTCAATCTGTTTCACCACAAATTCATACCAGCTGAGTAGAGCGACGAGCACATCAGCAGAACAAGCAAACGGGAAAACGGGCTGCTTAAGCCGTGCTGCTAGCCAGTGAATAAAGGTGATCTAAAATTATACATATATATAAAAATATAGTTATAT